GAAGTTTCACTCAGAAAAATATAATTATATTTAAAAAAATAAAATATATAGAGTATGTGTGTAGAGTTTATAGTCAGATTGTTTAATCATTATATTTTTATTATTATTAAATATTAGCTTATTATCTCTTACTTTGTAGAACATGAACTCATAACAATTAGAAGTCCTTACGCCTCTATTCCTATCAAATATCTACAGCTACTACAGGATGCTCTAATTAAATTTGCATGTCCTTTGATATATTTTTCAGCATGGAAACATATTCTTTAAATATATTTGGAAGACATCTCTGCAGTGCTTGACAGATCAATTGAGTTTTCTCTTATTGCTATGCATGGCACACAGCTACATATATCATATAGACTTCAGGCCCTGCCATTCCATTAAGTATTTATAGAGACTACAGTGCGGCAAATGATATGCTAATTCAGAAGCTTTTTAATCAAGGCCCTAAGCCAAAGCCACAGCCAAAGAGAAAGCCAAAGCCAAAGGCAAAGGCAAAGCCATAGTATGAAGTGTATTTGCATCTTGTTTACTTTTTTACTTTTTTTTTCTGCCATTGTTTTCTCTAGTGCTTACGCGCTGCGTGCTCCACGTCCTGTTGGAGGCAGCTCCTATGTGGCTGAGTTCTATTGTTGCGCTCGAATGAAATCAATCATGTAATTTATGTTAGGATAATATGCCCCGGCCACACAGGCCAACCCCTCTAAAATGGACTGTCAAGAAATAAATATTTAACAATAATTGATTTAAAAGGCGCATGCAAATTTTCTCTAAGAGCAGCAGGAGCAGGAGCCGCAGCAGCAGGAAGGGGCGCCAATCAAAAGTAAGATTGAAAGACGAGCACACGGCCTGTCTCAGCTCGTCTTGGCCAGGCACGTGGGTAAAGTAACGGCTGCTCTTGAGTTGCGGGGGAGTCGTCTCTCTGCGTCTCGAGTGTTTTTTTGGCCCGCTTTTCCGGCTTTTTTCCAATTTCCTTGGCCGCTAAGCAAACAACTTGTCCGGCCCATGCTGTCGCTTAAGCGTGAAATTATATGAAATATCCTTTAAAAAGCTTTTGATTTCGCATCCTCCGCATCAAAAAAAAAAAAAAAAAAGAAGAGGAAAAGTCCTGCAAGGACAGCGGCGCAGCGTGTCCTGGCCTGGCCTCGTCTCGCCTCGCCTGGGCTTGTATGCAAATGTTGTTCATCTGCTTAGCGTAAAAGTTGTTTTCTTACTTATTTCAGCAACAAGGCTTTGGGTCCCGGGAAAATCGCATTTGCATGCCTTTGTCTGAAGTTGACCTCGTTGCTGTTGTTGGTGCGTCAGGTGTTGCTGCCAGGATACTAATGCTCCCCGTTAACGCTCTTAATGGCATAGACTGCATAATGGAGTTGCCAGGGCTCAGCTGTCGCCTGTTAGCTGTCGCCTCTTGGCTGTCGGCTGTCGTCTGTCAGGTGCATTCATTCACCTGTTCTCTAATGTTAATGACATCTCCTGGGCCGATGCATCAGACCATTTTTGGATTCCTTGGAAAAAGTAGCTCAGTAGCTTGCGGAGCAAGTGAAAGGCCATGGCTCGGTTGGGAGGCTGGGGGCTACTTAGGGCTGCCTGCCAGTGTGTACAAAAAGAGTAAAGGAGAAGAATAAGAAGAAGATAAAATTAGCATTACTTCCGACTGATCACAATCGGCGCATACTAATTGCTCGGTCGGCTGGGCAACGTGGGTTTCATTCATGGCAATCATTGAGTAGCTGCCTCCAAACTTGGCATTGTTGAATGATTCTGCTGTGATTTTTTCCAGTCCGTCTAGACAAATGTCTCCCCGGTTCATATAAGGCAACGGCGACGCGACTCTCTCTCTCTCTCCCTCTCTCTCTGTCTCTCTCTCTCTTCCCTCTAGATGCCTGCTGATCTGCTGTGCTTTGGCCAATTCACAGGAAACGTAAACGGGACAAGTCGTCTTGGCGGGGTCAGGGGACTGTTTACCCTTGCTTCTTACGAAACAACACAGCAAACACCAATCATCCACATCATTGTCAACACGCCATCGTCGCCGTCAGTCCATAAACGGACGCACCTTTTGCCTTATTGGGATGCCAGGCTCTGTGGCCTGTCATAACTCTTGGTAGGCGTACCATGAGCCCCGATCCCAGTTACCCAGCTCGCCACGAAATGGTGCACTATGCCTCTGCCTGGCCAAGACTCTTTCTCCTATGGACATTCTCGTTGCCATTGCGTCCTAAAATGGCGCAGACGCCGCACCTGGGAATATCAAAAGCCAGTCAGCAGCTCTTCTCCTCGTCATACTTTCCAAGCTCCAAGAGCTATCAGTCGCTACGCTTCGATTCGTTCTCACTGCTCTTAGCTCAGCTCAGCTCAGCTCAACTCAACTCAACTCAGCTCAGCTCAGCTCAAGTGTCAAGCGTCAATTGGCGTTGAAGTTTATTGCCTTGGCAGCAATTAAAGCGATTTCGTTTTGGGGCTTGGCCATGCGTAAAGGCAACGCATTTGATTTGATTTTTGATTGGCTGTCATCGGCAATTGATTGCAGAATTGAATTATCAAATTAGAGCGAGCGAACGAACGAACGGCTCTCTGCACTCGTTTCATAATTGGCAGCCAACTGCATCCAACTCAACTTCTAATGAATGACTCAGACCCAGACTGACTGTCAGGCAATGTCATATGCTTTCTAGCCTCTAGTCTGCCGTTGAATGTGTAAACAGAGTATACCACAGGAAGGTATTGGAGGTATCTTTATATGTATTACTAAAGTAGCTAAGAATTTTCCAGTGTGAATGCAGAAATTGAGAGATATCACTATAAGTATTACTAAAGTATCTAGCAAAGTTAGTTGAAGTTATAAAATTAAATCAAAATAAGATAAAAACGTTATGAATCATACAACTTTAATCATACAATTTTAAATGGTAGATTGTAGAATGTTTATAATAGATTAGATTATAGAAAGTTTATAACACTTTCTACAAACAAATCATGATAAAAACGTTCATAAATCATTAAAAATAATGATCGTTTTTATCATGATTTGTATTTAATTTGTTTTTATTTTTTTATTAATAATAAATCATTGTTAAAATATTAAATATATGAGCTTTGGCTTAGATAATGAAAGAGGGCAATGTATTAGTCCCTGTATAGACCACTCAGCCACTTTAGATCATAGCTTAAGCCGTATAGAATGATATATTTATACAGATTTTGATTAAGTGATAATAATAATCATACCGAATAACACACTTACATATTCTCTATCGAAACAAACTTTATTAGAAAACTATCTAAATTATATTTCTACTACTACTGCATTCATGAGCATTGCTCCCCCAATTCCCGATATTAGTTTTGTATATTATGAAAATGCTTTGCATTATTTTGATGCTCGAATCCGTTGGGAGCTATTTCAATTGCCATAACTGATTGCCCGGGACACTTTTATTAGGCAAATTTCTTATCCTTCATTTGCTTTACAGCAATTTGGCTAAGTAAGTTTTTATTGCTGGCTTTTGGGTGTGCAGCAGCGCTTGCATAACTCAAAGGGAAAAATTCATCACCGCAATATGCGCAGCACAGACGACATCAGAGGAAGGAAAAAAGCTAGCAGAAAGAAAACAGTGAAATAGAAAAGTGCCAGCTAGGAAAATTGTCATAAAGGTGCAACTGACAACACCAGCAACAGCAACAGCAACAGCAACAGCAGCAGCAGCAACAACAACGGCAGAAACAAGAAAAGCGAAGCTCGTAAATTTCAATTTATATGCAGAATGAGCAGTGAGTAAAAAAGGCACACACACACACACATGCACACGCACACGTATACATACGCATGTGTACGTACATATACATGCAGCCAAGGAGCAGTGCGAAAAGTGTCAACGTGATATTTTCTCGAATTTCCCAAAGATTTCTTTTACTATTCTCATTTTTTTTTGCTTCTTTTTCGTTTTTGGCCTGCAAGTGGAAAAAGCAATTTCATTAGACAAATTGAAAAAAATAAGTGCAAGGCAACAATAATAATAATAGACATGGCGTTGCCCGTTATATGAACAGCTTATGTACAGCACTATATATAGATACATATATATATATATATATCTGGTAACATATAAGCCTGGATAGACGCCATGTTGAACTGAACTAAAGAATTTCGTTGGTCGCTTCTCATTCGCTGCGTTTATTTTTGTTTGCTAACGCGCATACGAGTAGGAGACCCACACACACACACACACACACACACACACAGTTATACACATATACAGTTATGTGTATGCTCATCGCATGCATGATGAGTTGGCATCCAGCCCAGCAGGATGCTGCGCGCGCGTTGAAAATAGGCGGAGACTTGGCGGCCAACGGCGCCTTTCACACTTGAAAAGCAAAAAAAAAAAAAAAAAAAAGAAAAGAAGAAAGAAAACCAGCAGCAGCCTGTGTGGAAAGCGCAAACACACAAAAAAAAAAAAGGCAAAGAAAATGCAGGCGACAACCGTTAGCTGTTCGCTGCTGCTGCTTCTGCCTTATCACAGTGCCAGAGCTCGGCACGATTCGTTTCTGTTTGGCCGCATCGTCGTCGCTGATTGGAAGCTTCGGCGCGCTGTTCGTTTTTGGGGCGGAGCAAAAGCCCTGAGCGCAGTGGCGCCGTCTGCATTGGGGAGCCAACAATGGGGGCTGTTTCTGACTGTTTGACTGTGTTTTTCTTTTTCTTTTTTTTTTTTTTGGTGGGGGTTTCTTTATTGAGTGCTAAGCTGCTCACAAGACATTAATTCCACGGGCAGCCTGTATCAGGCCCTGCTGTACGGCCAAGGCGGATGTCGTCTGCATTGGGGAGCCAACAATGGGGGCTGTTTCTGACTGTTTGACTGTGTTTTTCTTTTTCTTTTTTTTTTTTTTGGTGGGGGTTTCTTTATTGAGTGCTAAGCTGCTCACAAGACATTAATTCCACGGGCAGCCTGTATCAGGCCGACGAATCCCTCCGTGGTCTCACGGGCCACAGGTAATATATACTCTGGCGGCAGCAAGAATCCGAATTCGCCCCTATCGCGTAGCTCTAAGGTAAAGGGTATGGTTATGTTCTTGACGCCATAGGCCCAGTCCTTGCCCGCACCAGAAACTTCATCTGAAGTGTTTAAGTACAGTTAACATATAGAATCAGAACAGAAGCCCATAGATCTTACATAGAGTTGCGGCGCTGGATCCATAGCTATATGGCGTGCCATAGCGCCTGGAGACTGCATCGGCAAATCCTTTGGCTACGCCCATCATCTGCGGATAGTGTGGCGGAAACTCCTCGGCCGTATGGCCCCAGGGCGAGAGCACTAGCTGGCTATACGAGTGCATGGATATGTAGATCTTTATAATACCCTCCGGTATGGAGTTGTTAATGTAGCTCGTCAGTTGACTAATTTCCGGATCGGACTCGGGCGATGGACCAGCAAGGATCAGCAGAAGCGCCAGCCTCTGAAAATCGATATCGATTTCATTGTAAAGCTAAAAGATTTTCCTAGTTGTTTACTTACCCATCCAGCGATAATTAAAATTGCGATTTAAATCGGTTCCTACGCATTCTCCAGTGGGATCCGAGCTCAGACGAGACTTTCGCCACAAACGTTCCTGAATAATCAAATATTATTTGCTTAATGACTATTTACAATTCTAAAGAATATTATCAAATTTATTAATGCCTCTTAGTTGTTTTTTGGCAGTTCTATAATCAGAACAATATAATCTTATCTTTATATTTACAGCAATCATCTATAGCACGCGGATTTTTTTTACACTTACCACATTGTGTGAGTAGCTAAAGCCATCCACATTTAGCACGGGAATAATGTACCAGTCCACATTTTGGGCTATATCCCTAACAGCCGGATTTCTGGGCACGAGCAGCTCATCGATGAAGTATGTGATCGTAGCCGAGGTGATCCATTCATTTCCGTGAATATTTGACTCGATGAAGACGGCGCTGTTGCCCGGCTTGTAGGAGATCTTGATGCCACGTATCGGACGACCCTCATGCGAGTTGCCAATCGAGAAGGGTGTGACTACGTGAGGGTAACGCGCCTCGATCAGATCCAGCCAGGCGTAGATCTCGTCCAGAGTGTGGTACTGGGTCCACTCCATCGAGCTCATTCGTTGCTTTGGCCGCTGCTCATCGATCAGGCGCTGCACGTTGTCGATCTTGATGCTATAGCTCACGTTGTGGCTGTGGAGCAGAGACTCAAACGCCTCCTGGTACCTAGGCGACAGCATAATATCCGCTGAGTCGCCTGGACGACTCGCAGGCCGCCATTTATTAAGCTGTTTCAGAGGAAAGGCTGTAGGAAAATAGGAACGAAATAAGGCTGAACTTACCTTCAGAGCTTTCTCATTCTCATTGAGCAGCTGGAGATCTGCAGCATCCTTGATATGGACTTTGTACAGCTTGTAGTTGTCATAGCGCACCTGGTTAGTAGCCTTAGCCAGGCTCAGGCAGGCCAATAGCAGCACAAATTTTAGATACATACCTCTCGATCGAAGCACTTGCGATAAACTGCCCTGGTCTTAGCCATGGCCTATGCTTGTTGATTTGGCGATTTTATCGCTGGTTTTATTATATGCTTCATTGAATCGAAAGCAATTTAGTTTTTATATTATATTATTTTTTATCAGAATTGAAGCTTTTGGAAACTTTGATTCTTGTAGCTGGCTGCCGTGTCAGCATAGAGCTGAGAACTTGAAGTTGTCTGGGCAAGCCCCGTGGTACTTAGGCTGTCTCTCAACTTTGCACATAAATTTTGTGCAACGGCAGCCCATTTCATTGTAGGTCACTGCATAATGAAGGCACCGCCCCGGAGCACATAAATTTCTGTGCTCGCTGGTGGAGATTTCAGCCTTCAGTTTGACTTGTCGCCGGTATTAGTGCGAAATTCTGTTTAGGCCTTTTTATGCCTCCGAGCTGTCCTGCGGCGAGTGCTTAAAGGACTTTCGGCTCTTGGTCATATTTCGCGCGGCTCTCACAGATTCGCACAGCTAGCTGGGGGTTGTAGTTGCTCTTGTCGCTGTCACCGCATGAGGTGTGCCAACGTGTGTTTTATTAACGACCCTGCCGGGAGTGTGAGGTTTTTAGATGGTGCCACTTGGCCAGAACGCCAGTCGCACACCCATCAGACTTCCCAGGCAGTTAAGGGCATCTAGGGCGAGGTGGCAGCTTTTACATATATACTTCCTTAAAAAAATAAGTAGACATCAACTAGGTTTTAGTAGTTGGTAACAGCCAATCTAATGTTAATTAAAATAAAGGCTCGTGCGCCAAAAACTTTATGGATTGTTTATAAAAACATAAAGCTTTATCGATCGACATTGATTTAAGTTGATTTTGTATGCGTGTGATAATCAATATAAAACCTGAATAGCTGATAAAAATTTAAGTCTAAGTTTATCGAGTTTACGTTATCTATATCGATAAATGACATCGATCATATATCGACTATTTATGATTTACCTAAGCTGTGGCTTCATCAGATAATATCGTTTTCGATTAACTTGATCAGCCTATTATCCTTATATCCTATATCCTTTTTGTATATATCGTAACCTGTTGGATTGTTAGATGTATTATTACCTGTTTATATAATATAATCTGTGCTTATATCGACAGCCGTTTAATTATTAAAAAGTTTTTAGAGCTTACTGTTGAGCTTTTATTGATCGATGTTAAGTTGTCTCTGTTCATCGATATTATATCGATAAGTTGTAAATTCTAAAATATGTACATGCTGTAATATTTATCATTGATTTTAGTTAGCTTTAAAAGTTATGATTGTAATCAATACCTGCCCTACAGCAGAGCTTTATGATTGATATAGTATCGCAGCTGATCGATATCTTATCGGCTACTTAATAGCTCTTAGCTTGCCGCTCGTTATCAGTCAGTAACATGAACTGTTGTTCTTTGGCATAGCTTAGCTAATTTACTGTAAGCGCCAAATATTAATAAATAAAATATCGATCAACTCAAATGAATTTTACTTTCAGTTGCTTATCGACTGCTGCTGCTTGCAGAGCCTCAGCTGAGAGGATAGAAATTATTTGCCGTGGCTAGCTCTGGTAGGAGCGAATTTCTATGCTTCCTCACCAGTAGCGAATTTTTACTCACCCTAAACTCAACTAGACCCTGGACTAGTGCAGATAACATGTACCGCTATGGCACCACTCAGAACTCTTGCCTTGGATTATTTTAGTTAAGAGCATGCAGTTACCCTGCTTACTAGAGACAACTGTGGTTCTGTGGGGCGACACTCTACTGCTAGCTGCTCAGCAATGTTCAGCTCTAACAACAATTAGCTGTGGCTTATTTGATTAGCGCGCTAATTGCCAGCAGGCAGCGACTCGCACCAATAAATTCATGCACATTAATTTCTTATCAGCGCGCAATAAAGCTAGCAAGCCGGATTAAAGCCGTCCGTGTCATGGGGAGGGGCCTGTGGCGAAAAGTTGCGTTCAACAACTTTCAACACCTTGGCGCGTGGGGCGTGGAAATTGTGTAAAACTTTTAAGCAAAGAAAAACTCGTGGTTGCGCGTGCGATAAGCCAGCGCCGCATATTTAATTGCACTGAGCTGGCCCAGAATACTTTGGGGGCAGCTTTAAGACAGCGAGTCGCGCTGTTAGCCGGATGCCAGTCCTTAAAATGTCATAAATATCGCGGACAGCCGCTTCCTGGCGTGCTTTTTTTTTRCCGCACTCTGCTCTTGTTAATTGTGGCTAAAAACATTGACATTACATAAATCGGGAGTCCGATGCAGACGTGGCGTATGCGCAATATGTGCAACAAACTGAAAGAAATGTCAATGCCGGAAAATGTTTAGCATTTGCCTCCATTTGCTGTTCTCTGCCCGTTCCGTTTTTTTTCGTAGCCACATGTTGTGGATTTAATTAGCCTTAAAATGTCCCAGCTCCACAAATGGCAGCTTTGCATGCCATGCGAAAAGTGTCCAAGGACCAAGGATAAGCGAAGCGAGCCCCGCTAGGAAGGAAGTTGCATGTTTGCCTCAAGTTCAATTTGCTTGTTTAAATATTTTTCGGACAGCTCTTCACGTATGCGCTGAGCCGCAGTTATGAAATGTGGAGGAAGCAGCATGTCAAGGTTTTTGGCCACAACTTTGAAATATGACCCAGCCACTTTTAACTCTTTTCCAACTGCTAAAGAGATTTTTTTTTGTTCAAAATTTAAGAATCCCAAATGAATGATTTTTCTAGAATAACTTAACCAGATGACTAGAATATTAAAATATTTTTCCAGTTTTAGACTCGCGCTTTATTAGAGTATATCGATTTCACGAGCTGCCTGTATCATGCCCACAAATCCCTCAGTGAGTTCTCGGGACACGGGTATGATATACTCGGGGGGCAATACGAAACCGTATTGGCCCTTGTCAGGCAGCTCTATGGTATAGGGTATGATAATGTTCTTTACAGCATAAGCCCATTCTTTACCTGAACCAGAAACTTCATCTAAAATATCAGAGAGTTCATTAGATAAATATAGTTTTCTATAAATAGACGAGTCTTACAAAGAGTCGTAGCACTAGAGCCATAAACGAACACCGTGCCATTACGTCTGTGGAGAGCTTCAGCAAATCCCTTGGCCACAGCCATCATCTGTGGATAGTGTTCGGGAAACTCCTCAGCAGTGTGGCCCCAGGGCGAGAGCACATATTGGCCGTAGGAATGCAGGGATATATAGATCTTAATGCTGCCCTCGGGTATGGAGCTGTTGATGTAGCTCGTCAGCTGACTGATTTCCGGATCGGATTCGGCGTAGGGACCAGCATAAGTTTGCTCGCAAGGATCAGCAGAAGCGCCAATCTCTGAAGGGAAATTTATCAGTACTATAATAGGTATACCAGTTTACATAGACTTACGCATCCAGCGATAATTAAAGTTGCGATTCAAATCGGTTCCTATGCATTTTCCTGTGGGATCGGAGGGTAAACGCGATTTACGCCAAAGACGTTCCTAATACAAAAAGAAATCATAAAGATAATCAAAAACTGGAATAGCTGCCGATGCGATTGATAAGGCAGAAAAGCGCCTCGTAATCGAGTCGGCACTTATGTTGTTTGGATACAATCTTATCTCAAATATATTGTGGGGCTACCAAACTATTTATGGGGCCTTACCACTTCGTGTGAATACACAAAGCCGTCCGTATTTAGCACAGGTATTATGTACCAATCCACACTCTGCGCTATGTCTCTGACAGCCGGATTGCGCGGCACGAGCAGCTCATCGATGAAGTACGTGATGGTAGCCGAGGTGATCCATTCACGTGCGTGAATGTTCGACTCGATGAAGACGGCGCTGTTGCCCGGCTTGTAGGAGATCTTGATGCCACGTATCGGACGACCCTCATAGGACTTTCCAATCGTAAAGGGCGTCACAAGGTGCGAGTANCCGCACTCTGCTCTTGTTAATTGTGGCTAAAAACATTGACATTACATAAATCGGGAGTCCGATGCAGACGTGGCGTATGCGCAATATGTGCAACAAACTGAAAGAAATGTCAATGCCGGAAAGTGTTTAGCATTTGCCTCCGTTTGCTGTTCTCTGCCTTTTTTTCGTAGCCACATGTTGTAGACTTACGTAGCCTTAATATCCCAGCTCCAAGGCGAAGCGAAGCGAGCCGCGCTAGGAAGGAAGTTGCATATTTGCCTCAAGTTCAATTTGCTTGTTTAAATATTTTTCGGACAGCTCTTCACGTATGCGCTGAGCCGCAGTTATGAAATGTGGAGGAAGCAGCATGTCAAGGTTTTGGCCACAGCTTTGAAATATGACCCAGCTACTTTTAACTCTTTTCCAACTGATAAAGAGATTTTCTTTTTGTTAATGTGACGTATATAAAAAATCCTAAGAAATTAAACAATTTTATAGAATAAATTTACCAGATAAAGGCTAGAATATTAAAATACTTTCCCAGTTTTAGGGTCGTGCTTTATTACAGTACATGAATTTCTCGGGCTGCCTGTATCATGCCAACGAATCCATCAGTGAGTTCACGTGATACGGGTATGATATACTCTGGAGGCAATGCGAAACCGTATTGGCCCTTGTCAGGCAGCTCTATGGTATAGGGTATGATAATGTTCTTCACAGCATAGGCCCATTCCTTACCCGCACCAGTAACATAAGCTATAGTATTAGAGAGTTAACTAGATGCATATAGTGTTCTATAAATAGACGAGTCTTACAACGAAGCGTAGGACTGGAGCCATAAGTGAACACCGTGCCATTACGCCTGTGGAGAGCATCGGCAAATCCCTTGGCCACAGCCATCATCTGTGGATAGTGTTCGGGRAACTCCTCAGCMGTGTGGCCCCAGGGYGAGAGCACATATTGGCCGTAGGAATGCAGGGATATATAGATCTTAATGCTGCCCTCGGGTATGGAGCTGTTGATGTAGCTCGTCAGCTGACTGATTTCCGGATCGGATTCGGCGTAGGGACCAGCAAAGGTGTCCATACAAGGATCAGCAGAAGCGCCAATCTCTGAAGAGG